TACCTTACTATTTTGCCTCTATGACCAAATTTCTTTCATTAAAATATTTTGACACATGGCAACTCTAAAAATATTTTTTGCTATACAATTTCTTACAACTTTTTATTTTAATACCCAAATTGCGTGTTTTTATTATTAGCATTTTTTTAACTTTTTCAAACATATGGCAATCATGAAATAAAAAAAAAAAAATTTCCAACTACGCCAAACAATATAAAAAAATATTATTAAAGCTCTTCAACTACGAATGTGGTCGTTCGCTTAATAAGTTGTACTTTAAAATATTACATAATATCATGTAAGACCAGTGCTTTTATATACTCCTACTTCATTTATAATATCAAAAATTTTAAACAAAGAATGAAGCTATGCGATTTCAAAATAATTCTAAAAACAAATTGCTCTGGCAATCACCAAAAAAAATGTATATAAGAAACATATAATAAAACTCTCATGTCATAACTTCAGTATTTTATACAAATTGTGCACAAAGTGACCCGCCATGCAGCCGCATTAAATTCTCAAATAGCTTATTGAACGTCCTTAATGCAAATTCTAGCTGCATGACGTGCAACTACACACGTCCGTGAAGGCAGCAAGAAATCTACGACCGTAACACGTCAGCTCTAATTTATGCCAACGACGTTGCGCAAAAAGTAACTCATACGCCCTGCGGCACAGTGCGACCTTGCGCGCTCGCTGCCTACAAACATTTAGCGCTAAACTTATGCGCCTATGCATATGCCGTTGGTCTGCTAGCTTGCCTACAAATGTGCATATGCTTGCATGCTTATCATAAATTTATGTCCAAGGCGAACTCATATACACACACACACACACTCACTCACCTTCATGCCTAACCGCTTGCGCACCGGTAGCTGCAAGCCAACAGGCTGAATGCGAAAGGTCACAGCAAGTTGGGTTGGTTGTCTGCAGCTGTGCCGTTAAATCGTTAACCAGCAGCACTACCCGTGCAACGCCCCGCGCTTAGGGTCTGTAAAGCGCGCTTGGCGCTACAGCAAGCAATTAAGCTTCAATTTCCGCTGCTCGCCGACGCTTGGCAAGCGCGCTGCCTTAAAGAAAGCGCAAACACAGAGAAAAAAATTATAAATATGAACGCCAACAACAACAGCAACAATAATAGCGCAAAGTTAATGTGACAGCAAACAAAGAGAACGACTCGTGTTTATGTCCTGTCGTGTCGCGCTGCGCTGCGCTGGCATTCTAAATTGTAGGAGGCGCTAAAGCGACGTTGCGAACGCTGCGCTGTAGTAAACGCAAAAATTTATGAGCGCAGTTGTGTGCGTGTATGTGTGCGCTTGCCGCCAACGTGTAGGCATCATTACCCTTGTGCCGCCTATGTGGCGCGCTTCAACAACAATGTCACATACCAGTTAGCTTTTTTATTTTTTGTTTTTCTTACTAGTCTTCGTATTTTCTTTTGACCCTTTTATGTGCTTTTGCGCTTTCCACTGCAGCCATAAATAACATTTTCGGTTTTGTGACATTTCCGCCAAACTTGTGTCCTTCTGCGCATTGCACATTGGTGTGTGTAGTTTTTGTTTTTATTTTTGTTTTGGTTATACCTTTATTACTGCTGTTGTTTGCTCTCGGCTTGCTTACTTTGTTGTCCTAACAATTGCTGTTTACATTTGTATGCAGCGTGTTTACACTCGTCTTAGCAGCCAGAGAATTTATGCTGTGTATAATACATAAGACCTGAGCGAGTTTGTGGAATTGTGGGGGTGGAGCCGAGTTAATTAGCAATAAAAACGATATTTTTGGCAGTTAAAATTCGTTAAATTTTATTCTCGTCACGTTTAAATTGTATACGAAAACTCGAAGTGCTCCAAATCTACCTACGAAAGCGCTAAAATTTCCGGTACTTTAATATGCTTCCGTTACTTGCTTCGTACACGTTTGTTGATTTTATGCACAAAAACAATATATGTAGTTGTTTTTGTATGCATTTTAGTAGCTGTATAAAGTTTTGATACGCGAGAATTTCATCAACGAATTTGCGACGGCGTTAGGGCGAGGCAAACATAATTTGATTGTTTTAAAATTTTTTAGTGAAATGCAAAAAATATCTCAAAAGATCAATAAAAGGAATAGTTCTGTTTGTACCGAGCATTAAATATAGTTGCAGAGCGTGAAACACTTTTATGCGGTTTGTGGGGATTAATGGAAATAAACCAATTTTCTAGAGTATTTTTCTTAATTCAGAATACATCAGTGAGCACATATTCCAGGCCAGAAAATTACAGATTCGTTATATGATGACCAGGAGAGGATTTTGGAGTGATTTCAATCACTACTAGAAAATAGTTACCTCGTCTAAGGAATACCATTTCTTCTCTAATCTTTAATTAGAAATTTAAAGTATTGACGTTTACAAAAGGATTACATTAAAAAGTGTTCTCTTTTTTAATTTTTTTGGAGAGAAACGCTTGTATAGATATTCCTGACAAGTATCCAGCTGCAACAAGATACCACAGTTATTACTCAGCTGTACGAAGATGGGGTCGGCCAAAAAGGAAAAGGTGTTAGGTGAGTTGTTCCCAACGAAACAACAAGTTTCCTCGAACTCCCGTTAGGTGATTTGGATGACAAATAACTTGCGCTTAGCCACCCAAACAACAACAACAACGACAGATTGACGAAGAAACATATAATGGTAGACAAAACAGTCTCGATTTTTTGGCAATTTAAAAAAAATATTGTACGTTGTCCAAGACATTAGGACATAATTTCAGAGCTTTTTTGTACTTCATATTTTCATTATTTTTTACAAGCAGGCAATAAGTAAATTTAGATATTGCATATATGATTTTAAAAATACTCCACAATTATTTAGCGGAGTTAAATATTTCGTACCTTGCTTCTAATTGCCTCACAGACATATTTTGAGAATTTGCATTAAGTTTGGAAATCTCAAGAGTCTTGCATTATAGTGATCAACAGAACAATTAGGTGCACATTTGAAAAACCGACACTCATCTTATTCTTTACCCAGCAGCATGTGGTTATGCGTATGCAAATAAAAAAGACACTTCAGTCCAACCACCACTACTAAAATCATGATGACTACTAAAACCTCAAAGAGCCATTGCTTGACCTCCATGGCAAGGCTATTTAACTGCGTATCTTCCACTTACCACACACATGTGCTTAAGAGGCTTCAGAATTTACAGGTCTTAAACATATAATTGCAAAAGTTTTAAGTTTTGTTTTTGCTTAATCTCACTTTAGTAGTATGCCGTTCGCTTGGCGTGCACTCGTTTTTACAAAGAGAGTGCTGATGAAGCTTTTTCTGCTCATAAATTAGTGCTCATTATTATGGCTAATAAATGCCAACCGCAACATGCATGTGTGTGTGCGCGTATAAGCACTCATGTGAAACTAAGGATGTTTATTTGCCGACGCACCTGAATTACTGAGTTTTTATTATAATTTTGCGACTTTTTCTACTTCCCTTCCGAAGCATTGAAAAAGCTGATGCAAGCAAACAAGCCACAATCAAAGCAGTTTAAAATAAAAATCAAATCAAATTTCAAATGTTGAGTGATAATCATAGCTCAGCAAAGTTTCGAGTTACAGCAAAGAAGGTTTGTGCTGAGCGCCATTCACATATTCAAAGTCTTTTTTGCTGCTGGATTTTGCCAAAGTGCCTTTCTGTGTGTGTGCGTGTGCTTGTGCAAAAAGGTTGCCATTAAATTTTTAATTAGGTTAATTAAGCTACTCAACAAACGCATGTTAAAGGACTTATCTTAACATAAATATTTTTAAACTTCACTTATGCCAAAAGTTTTGTTGGTAAATGGTGAATTATTGAAGCTTTCGTAGAATGTGTGTGCTAATACACATATGTTTGAGCTCTTCCTTTGAATTTATTATAAAAATTTAATTTGGACAGATTTTAAAAGTGTACGAAGCTATCGAGAAAAGCTGTGGATGGAGCAAAAGCTCAATTTTTGATATTGACTTTTGTTTTAAAAAAAAAAATGTTTAAAAAAGCTTTCGCTTAAGTTTTATAAAAGTAAAAGTCAACGGATTTCTTGTGCTACAGCTTGTAGCTTTCCTCTTCGACTTCTTTTTTTTTTAATTTATTTATATATAATATTATATTTCTTTCAATTGTTTAGTTTTTTTTTTTAATATTTTGAAGAGCTTTATTTAAATTATGTATACGTTATTTAAAGTCATTAAGATTACAAATCATCAAAGTTTCAGCTCACTAATTCAGGTAATCAAGTAATTAATCCAACGAAGAGCTTCAAAATAAATGTAGAAAATTTTATTTTTTTTTAATAAATTTTTCTTAACAAATAGTAATATAATTAAATTTTAAGTATAAATTAGAAATGTTTTCTATTATATCCATATTTTTACCTACTGAACTTACTATATATCTTCTCTTATATAAAAATGTGTAGTTTTATTATATATTGCACTATACCGTAACACATTATAGAGGAAAATATCGACAAAAGTAGTTTTGTAGAATATTTTTAGAAAAAAGAAACAACAATTTTCGCGCTGCAGTTTTTGATAACATTATTCTGTACCTACTGCTGCTACAGTCTGATCATAAAGTATGCTTTCCCTGCAATAACGAGTCTGTTCTCTTGAAAATGTCCAACAAAACTATTTTTAAGTCTTTTTTTCTCGTGGTCTTTTTTTATTGTGGTGAAAAAATACAGATTTTTTTATCAAGCTTCTTTTTTCTACAAAAATTTAAATAAATTTATATATTTTAAGTCGATTTAAACGATTTTAACAAACATTAAATAATTAATTCCATTGTATTAATAGATTTGTTTTTAAATCAATATAACCTTATTTTATTTTCAGCGATTAAAAAATAGTCAAAAAGTTTACATACTTCTCTTTTATGTTTTATATAATGCATGTACACATATATATAATATTTACTAAAGAGTCACCATCTTAATAACATATGTATTTCACTTCACCTCTTCAATATTTCGCGCATACAGGTCCAAAACCCGGTCCACCGCGCAATCTAACCGTCACGGAGGTCTCCAATGGTTTTCTGATCTCATGGCAGGCGCCACTGGAACGTGCCCACATCGTCAAATTCTACACCATCAAATATCGCACCGACGCCCAGTGGAAGACGCTGAATCGTGGCCAAATACGGCCCGAGGAGACACAGTATTTAGTTAAGAATTTAGTCGGCGGTCGTACATATTATTTTCGCGTCTTAGCTAATTCGGAAAAATCCTACGAGTCCAGCGATGAAGTGAAATTTCCGGTGCCGGCACGTGTCAAGCATAAAGCAATAACAGCCGGTGTCGTTGGGGGCATCCTGTTTTTTATTGTTGCGATCATTTTATCGGTTTGTGCCGTAAAAATTTGCAATAAACGTAAACGACGAAAACAGGAAAAAGGTAAAAAACTGCAACTAACAGTGAAGCAAGTGTAAAGCGAATGCACAAAATTAAAAAAAAAAGAATAAAATTAACACGAAATGGTTTTTGATGATGACCAGAAATATGGAACGCACGAGAGCAAACGAGCCAACGTTTTAATGCGTTGCAAGTGCCGCTGTGTTGTGTATCGTGCCAGTTGAGCGCAGCATGTGGGCAAAAAATGGCGGCACAGCTGACAGCCGTGCCAAGCATGCCAACGGCGGCGACAATCCTGCCAGTCGTTGGCGTTGGTGGCGCTGATTTTGTCAGACATGTGGCAACCGTACTGCCCACATAAAATGCTGCGCTCCACTGTGCCACCGGTTGCGCTGCGTTCCTATTCTGGTCTTAGTTCAGCGAGTACTTTATAACGCTAAATAAATAAATAAATATATATGTATATATATATAATATATAAATAGATATATATACGTAAATGTTTTTTGTGAGATTCAATTAAAATTTTTATTGCGTATTAATTTCGAAAAGGTCCTACTACATAAATGTATGAAATTAACTTTTTGCGTAAAATTGCCAATTAATATTTCCACTTTATTGCTTAATTAACTTTTAAAGCTAATTTTTATGATTTCGAATAAATGAAAAAACTAAAAGCAAAAATAATTTATAACCCCTTAAAATGTAGCACTTAATAACAGTAATTCTTTCTTATATGTATATTTGAATATGTAGTTTTCGTTTTGTAAAGTACTGGAAATAAATTTAAACTCACTTTTTGTGTTCCAATGGATTGACGTTGGCAAAAAAATCTGCCGTTACATAATACTAACAGCTCATGCAGGAATTACCGCTGATTAGTTAATTAAAATTACGTGAAACCAGAAAAAATACGTGACTGATTTCGACTTTTGCTTAATTAAAAACACAGTTATATATATATATATATATATATATATTAAAACTTTTGCCTTTTTTGAAGCATTAATTGGCTTAAACAACAAGTAAATATACTCGAACTAATAATTAATGAGTACAAAATTTGATTATTTTCATTTAATACAGTTGAATTATACCAAATAATATAATTTTTTACTCCATTTTGCTTATGTTGTTATTATTATACTATATAATTTTAATTTTTATTGCTTTAAACACATAATACAAAAGCTTTTATTTGAATTAGAATAATTTTAATGATTTAATTTATTATGCTTTTAATTGATCTTATTGAATTTCAACAGTAATTATTTAATTAGTTAAATTTATCAATTATTATTTTTTAAGTAGTGTATGTAACCCAGTAGAAATTAAGCTCACTGCTATCAGATCAACTAGTTATAAACTATTTTACAACTAGTATCAAGCATAACTAGTCAGCAATTGTCTGCTTTACAAGCAAGTAACTGGCAGTTTGACGTGTTGATACCTATCCAGACGGCGATTTTCAAATTTCGGTGGGACCAATAGCAGTGTGGAAATATGTTAGTTTGAAGCAGCTATACAACTGCTTGTGTCAATTTATATTTTTAGGCAATATATTAATTTGGATTTTCTTCAAATCTTTCCTGTTTTCAATGAGAAAATTTTTGATTTGACAAAACTATGCTCCGCTTTTCAATTAACTTCTTATAACAACACTTATGAGTCTGCTACTTTTCTAACTTGTTCGATTTTAGTCAGGTAAGAAACTGTAAACTAGCTAAATATGTGTCTCCTAGATTGACTACTACACACACAAGAGTCGCTGATGAAAAATTGCTTCCCAATTGAGTTAAAATCTCTAATAAAACAAGTCTTATAACTCACACAAGATAACCATTTCAATACAAACGAGCCTGTCTACAAAGCCGCCCTAAGGTGAATTTCGACGAATGCTGACATCTACATTGTTCAAAAACATTCCCATACCACGCAAATCCATAATTAAATTCAGTTCTGTGCCAATTATCACGTACGAAGTAGCTATGTACAGTAAAATATTCCAAATAATATTAATCCACAATAAAATAGGAAATTATTTCGCCTTGCATTATTTGTTAGCCGCATTTCGCTTTATAAATGTCAGTTACAATTACCTTTATTCGAATTTAAATATAAAGTTGAAGTGAAACGTTATTCTGAAAAAGCGTGAATAAAAATTATAACGGTAATAATAAAGGCGTAGAGTTTAATAAAGTGTGCGCTTTCAATGCAAAATCAAATGCAATCAGCAATGAAATACGTGATTCTGCTGTTTTCGTATTGAATTAAATTTTATTCGACAGCTGAACGCAAACCGCAGCGGAGTTGTCACCGCCACTCAATCGCGCGCTAAACAACAACAAAAATGTCAGCACTTATTTTGCTATATTTTGTGGCCAACAAACCGCCAAACAATTTAAATGCGAGCAGTTCGAAATATGCGACCACACTGTCCTCACTGGAATTTCACAGCTCGCGTCTAAGCGTTTTCACTTTGGCCGTTTTGCTATAATTGAAATCAGCACGCTTCAGCCGAAAGCCATGCATATACCATAATGTACTCTCTTATGCAGCTTAAATTTAGTTGAAAAATGTATTTTTTATTTAACGATATTTTGGTCTTCAATGATTATTTAAATGCTTGCGAAAATACGGTGATTATTCACTGATACCGCTACATCAATGCGGTATGACAACATTAACAGTACTGTCGTATAACTAGTCAAGCTACCAACCAATTTTTGCTAAATGATTGTGTATAACCTGTATTTTGTAGGTGAACTTTACTCTGCTGCAAGTTTATGCTAGCTTTTAAGTATACTCTCTTTCCCTCTCCAATTTTCACGCCCTTACCTGTTTATAAAATATGATTTTCGTTCATTTAGTTTTCAGGTATTCATTTATTGCCACAAACTAACTAAGAGGGAGAGTTATATTTTTACTATTTCAAATACACAGTTACATAAATTTAGTAGCTGCGATTTTTATTCAAAAAAATAAAGCTTTTAAATGTTTTTCCTTACACGGTAGCAAATTTTACAAAAAAATCAAAATTTCTTTTAATTGTTTCAAAGAAAACCGCGATAAAAGTTTGCACCCAAGTAACTTTTCTCTATTAAGTAATTAGCTTTACAAGAGAGTAGTGAAAGAAAGAGACAAATATATAGCTAAATAACAACCTAACTTTCATTTCTACCGTATTTAGAGAACCCTAACTATGCTTTACAAGAGAGTAGTGAAAGAAAGAGACAAATATGTAGCTAAATCACAAGCTAACTTACAATTCTACCATATTTTGAGCACCCTACATGTGGCTCTTATTTTAGAAGAGACTTGACTTCATATGCTACGTCCCTACTTGTAAAGAATTCACTAAAGCTTGCAAGCACTTGAGATGACTTTTATTCCAAAGTTCTTTATTTAAGTTTTTGAAAGTGGTTTTTTCCTTAAACAACCCATACAAAAACAGTATAAAGTTTTTATTTATAATTACTCATAGTTATATTGGGAATTCCACAGCAGAACAAATTTGAAACTATGTAAGGTCATGTTTATTAATATATGATCTATATTTATTAATTTTAGGTTTAAAAAAATTTCGTTTTCTTTCTAAATGCTAACTTTTCCATCGACCACCAGTTTTCCTATCCCTTAGGCATGTTTTTGGTTCTCAAATGTTACTACGACACGTAGCACGTCCTCCACGAGACTGCTTCTAATGCTACTAATATAAATCTTCTAAAGTGTGCTCTCTCTAATCTATACAGAAGTCGATTACGGTTTGAGAGCTTAAGTTGACGTGCTCAATACGATGAAGCACAGCGCTTCGTTAATAACTTTTCACTCTCTCTTAGAATGTTCAGCTGTTTACTATAGAATCGCTTTCTGATAGTTAAATTTTTGTGTAGGTAAAATTGCTTAATTGTTATTTAGTATATAGGCAATTATACTATGTTGACTACATTAGATTACAGCTTGAAACCATATCACTGTATTAATGAGATTTGCTGATATATAAAACTGAGTTATGCCATTTTTAATGTCTCTTTAGTATTTTTAACTTCTTTTTTTTGGTATTTTGTTAATATTTTTATATTTACTTTTTTGGTTATGTTACCTTTGCAATTTTCTTTCAAATTATACTTACAACTACTAAAAACATACAATTACAATTACACAAAACAAGTAGCGTGTAAATACTTTGCAAAACATACATGTAACTATGTAAGTACTATAGATGAATTAAAGAAATCGCTCGCGTACTTAAAACCAAAGTCAAGACTCAAACACATAAAGCTTGGCGGTCAGAGCAAATTCAAAATACTCTTTTTTTTTTGGCAGGCTTTATTACCTGCACAAAACATTGAATGAAATGTTTGCAATCACCTTTACCCGAATTATTGAGGCGTGTTCTTAGTTTCTTCGTCGTTGTTTCTGCCCAGAACTAAGTTCATTGCCGGTAAAGGTGCCTGAGCGAAATGGGCAGACGTTTTTTGTAAACAATTCACGCACAAAGGTGGTAAAATCAAGGCCCAAACGACATCTGATAGAAATGATCGCGTCGTACAATAAACTCAACTAAAATATTTGCATGCAATTTCCAACTCACTTGAGTCACACAAATTAAATGTCTTTTATTCAATATTGCTGCAATTTTGTTCGAAACGAACCAAACAGTTTTGCAATTTTGAAATATTCAGCACATTTCGATAAACTTTACATACACTTCGGATAACAGGCGTTCATGCAGCTAATGTGGCCTCGGTTCTCGCCTTTGCTCGTAATGTATATGTGATCGTAATTAATTTTGGGGAGCCTCCGAGGAGTATGTAATTTAAGATCTGAAATTGCCGAATTCTGTTTGGCAACCTAAAACTTTTCAAATATAATAATTCAAAGAGAGCGAGCGCGCTAAAGAGACGATCAGTATCGATATGAGAATTGCGCTATACGAGATTGCTAAGTGTGAGCAGGGTGCTTGTGAGATCAGTTTTTGATACAACACGTTCAACCACATTTGCCACTGAGCACATTCGGGAAAGCAAAGTCACCAAAAAATTAAAGAAAGAAAAAGAAAACACAAAATGCCAAAGCTGGATTTTACAACAAACAAACAGAATATCAAGCTAAGTACAAGTGTTCTATGAATGGGGTAAGTTTTAACATTTAGTTGAATTTCGTGTGTCAATGTGTGCTGCTTGTTTAAGTCTTTTCCCTTCAAATCGCCAGCGACGCAAAGCGCCCGCGCCAATTTTATATGACTTACACATATTTTTCATAAATTTCTTCCACAAACTATTTTGCAGCAAAAGTAAAAAGCAAATGGTGATGAAATAACGGTCACGACTCGCCGCACAGCGCCTTGAATTGGAAAAGCGTTGAAAAATTGCGAAAAAAGAAATAAAAAACAATCATCGAAATCACCGATTTCTTTTGACTTAGTTTAGAAAAGCACAATCATCATAGCACTCTTACATGAAACTTGCGCCATTTTCACAAACTCACACACACACACACACATAGTCTCGTATATATGCGTTTGTCATACCTCATGCATCACATAGTACATTGAAGATTACACACACGTACAACTGCCGTAATTTGTCATGATTTCTATTGCATTTTACTTTCCTTTACTTCTACTTTAAAATGATTGCTTTACGAATTTCTTTTCATCAGATGTAGATTTCTATGTTTATTTCCTTCAAAAAGACGCGCACTTGACTGAAAGCTCTGTAACTAAAAATTCCTTTTATAATTTTTAATTCTACTATAAATGCTCACGAAGCTTTAAAGCTGCTATATTTTGCACAACACTAGCATAAATATATAAAAGCACGTTTGCTGTAAAGAGCTGTACAAATTGTGATAGAGATGACAAAGCTCGTCTTAGAAAATTGATTTGCCAAAAAGCTTTCAAAAAGCTTTCTCAATCTGTTGAGGTTTGAATACAAACAAATGCTTTTGTGATTTGCAAGAACTGCTGCACCGCTTCATAAAAATAAATTTCAAAAATTACCAAACGACTCATATAAAATTATGTAGTCAAGAATAAAAAGCTTCAGTATAAATTCTATTTCAAAATTTATACCATGCCATGCCTTACGTTCTCGTCGCTGCGATAAAAGCCATGCATTTATATATAATATAACCATCAAATTCATAATATTATATAGAACTGAAAACTTCAGCGCTTACCACAGCGTTACTAGACATAGCAGCATTCGATCAACGGCAGTTTCAATTGCTTTCTAACTCAAGCATTTAATTACATGTTAACTCGCTCTCTTTAAAGCTGCAAAAAATTAATTTTTCAAATTCTAGCAAAATATAAGCGCAAGCTTTAAAGCTTTAGCAAGACGCCGACATTTTTCAAATCGTTTTCTAACATCAAAAACCGTTTCACCACTTTTTTTTTAATCACCTTGTACAAACCGAACCTAAGTTGAAATAAATCCATTATTAATGTCTCCATACCATATATCTATACCACACTTGCATACCTATGTATAACTAACCAATTCTTATGTATGTATGTATATGTGTGTTATTCTCTTGCTGTCGTCTTTTTCGGTGTTCAATTTGCGTGCTTGCGTGCGTGTGTGTGCATTTCATGTGCGTTGTACTCCCCCCATAGTGATGATTAGCGCCGCCCCTAAAAGCGTGCCTAACAAATGAATAAAATAGTTGGTAAAAATTGAAGCTTTAGAAAAGCTTTAAACTGAAAATGACAAATTAGGGGAGCCTTAAGACAAGCTTTTGTCTAAAAATTAAAGCTTAGTAAAGACTTTAAAAAATGTTAGTATAAGAATGAAAGCTCGATGAAAGCGCCTTATCCATATAGCTGTATATTAGCATAATTTTAAAGTTTTTCAATAGTATGCGTAATTGTAAAGTGTAACCTCCCACAAAATTAGTTTGTATGCTAGAGCATTGGCACATCCCAATATAATAGGTAGAAATAAGAAACGAAAAAATAAATTAAATGTATATTAGTTCATACGTATAAATAACGCTTCACCTCTAACTGCTTATAAATCTATATTTCATTTAGAACAAGTATGGTATTTATATACACACATCTTCATTTATTGCATATGATATATTTCTCTTTTTGGTGGCTGTTATTTACTTACTTTTGTTAACCCATTATTATTCAATGAATTTTGCTATGATTTTGTGCTCATAATTATTATTTTCGCCTCATTAAAATCACATATGGTATGTGAAATAAGAAATAAATATTTTCTATATACAATTCTTATGCTAATGTCTTTCGAATACAAATTCTATATGAAAAATAGTAAAATTCTGATTCTATATTGGCTTAAAATCGTTATTCGTGGTGGAGAGTGTAACTCATATGTCTTATGCATAATGCGCTAATTACTCATTTAACACCCTAGAAGCTACGGCATATCACATTCTATACATATATGTACATATGTATGTAATTGCATTTGTATGTATGTCTGTATATGTGTATGTAGTTCGTATGTGGATTATTTTAGCGTCTAAGGAACGGTCAATACTCCACCAAAATTAATTGTAGAAATCATTCGTTTGCAGAGTTCAATATGGTAGCTTGCCGGATAACTGATGCCCGTAATATAGCGGCGAATAATCATCATTTGCAACATCATCAGCAGCAGCAGCAACAACAGCAACAGCACACGCAATTGCATCAACAACACCAACACCACCAACTTCAACATAATTTGCACAGCCGCAGTACGGGCTCGCTTTCCGCTGGTCAAGTGCCTTTAAAAAAGTAAGTAGGCCCGAGTAGTGGTAGATGTTTGGGGGAATGGGGGATGTGAAGACAAAATACACTCACACATATACATATAATTAGAAAAAATACATATTGATATAAATTCTAAGAGACTCAGTGGAAAGCAAAAATAAGGCGGATATTTTTATTGATATTTTATTCAACCAAAGTGAAATGTTAACATAGGTAGTATTTGTGGTTGAAATCGACTTCAGTATTAATAGCGGTATAGCTATAACTAAACGTTAATGCTATTAAAGTTATGCAGCTCGATCCATTACATCGACAGATGCTGTAGAGCGGCGAATCGAACAACCAACCAATATGAATATAATAGATTGGCGATAGACAATCGTGAACTTTTACCACTTTAATTAGATGTACTCATGCTCTCTCTTATTGAACTCAATTGGATCATTTTGGTGTTGTTTTCATTTGTAAATTTTTGGGCAAAAGAGAGAAAGCTCAAGCGTGGCATGTTTATTATTAATCAATTATTTATCGATTACTTAAGACTGTTTCATTGAATTATCAATATATTATGCTCTACAATAATATTCGGTTGTCAACATACTTGAAAGAGTGATTTATTTAGAAACATATGAGCATATTTATATTTTGAGGAAGGAAAGCTTAAAAGTGTTTCCAACTAAAGATTAAATAGAATTAACATCTATGAAATGGACTAAAACTGCCATAAAGTTCAAAAAAAATAATCAAAAGAAAATGATAAATATTGGAAAATAACATTCAATGCATATAGTCAGCTGAAATTATACTACAACCGAAAAATTATTCAATCTTGCGCATAGTTCTTCACACTGAGTCTCTTATCCTTAGAAAACAAGCTCATCACATAACGCAACAACGCTTCTCTCACATATCAAACATATCACATACATAATTTACATAATTTTTTTGGAAATTCTTTTCAATAAATACATAATATTAAAAGTACCTCAAAGACAGCAAAAAACACTCTTTTATAAAAAAATGTCCAGTTAATAAAAATAATATTTTTCTCTTTCTTCATAAAAAAAACTAAATGCCTATGTAAAACATCGTTCATGCAAAAATCACGCAAAAATATATATCACTTCATATTAACTTCCAAAACAATTGAAAATAATCATCGGCAATTCGTGAACAAAAATTTAATCAAAAAGCAACACTGAGCATTTTCGTGATTATGAAACCGTTTTTATAGTTCCAGGTCCATCATGCCATAGTCAAAATCGTAAGAGAATTTATGCATTTTAAATAAACTTAAATATTCAATAGCAAATTTAATTGTTTATTAGAATTTTTGTTTAAACAAATGCCTGTTTTGTTGAGTTTTTTTGACGTAACGGGAAATACTTTACTGCGTCTGCATAGTATTGGTTTAAAAAGTTCAGTATTTTAAGAAATTCATAGTTTACATTTTTTTCTCTCCAAAATTCAATCCACTTATGACCCTAACCCTTCTCATATATTGTCATTTATGTTAGAAAATTAAATTAAACGTCCAGTACTTTAGTTTTTTTAGTACGAAAATTTTTTAGTGTTAAGTTTTTGTACAGATTTTGACGAATGTAACTTCTGGCATAGCTGACCTTAGCTTGCTATAACCCATAAAATGTAGGATTGCCACTGGCTTTGTAACATTGACAAAAGTCTAGTAAAACGAAATCCACTATTTTTCCACTAGATTACTATATAAAAAAATTTATTTATATATTGTAGTCATAGTCTGACTCCGTCAAATATACTTGACAAAACCATTTCTCATTATGATTCAAGCGCCGCAAGTTCTATCCAACAAGGTGACCATAAATGTCAAGCACGTGTCTTTACCTTGACAATTGGTTTGACAGCTTTTCTAATTATACACCTCTAAAGAAACTATACGAGTTTAGCTATACGAGAGTATAGCGTGTTTTTGGTGAATTGTATAAAACTTAAATTTCGAAAAAGGCAGCTTCTTCGAAAACGTTTTTGTTTTTTAGTTCTTACATATATTTTTTTCTTTAAAGTTACTTGGAAGAACATTAATTGATTAGATATCCTCCCTACCGTTGTAATTTTTACTGTGAGCTTTCGCAGTTGTTTTCGTTTTACCTAAAATCTATTTGATGTGTGTTTTCTAGTTAAATTTATCGATTTAGAATTTTCGTAGTTCTGAAAATGCATATTTATTTTCCATGGCTGAACATGTTGCGTGATTGAAGTTATTTCATTTTATTTGATTCTAGTTTTCCCATTTATAGTAAATAACGGTAATTAGTTCACCATTTTGTTTTGCCATAACCAATATTATATTACGTTTCGCTCATTTTGGCATTACATAAAATTCATAATTATTTTATATACAACAACATACAAGTGTTCTAACATACCAATGTAAATATCTGTTGTCTTTTTTATGTAATTCGAATTCAATAATTTCTGGATTTTGAAGACCACAAGGTTTGCAATTACTGATAAATATATTCATACCTCATAATATATGTAAATGTAAATATGCATAAGATCTATTTTGAACTATAGAAAAATGCGTGCTTCAATAGAACAAACTGAAACCATTTTTCGAAGTTCAAAACTTTTAAGCATGTTCACCATTTTGCACTAGCTTTTTTATTTGTGTTTGGCACGTAGATGGTAATTTTTTTTTTTTTCTGTAAAAACTTTCTGTTGTAACATTCACATTAATTTATGCACTTTTTACTCTCTCTTTTCCGCAAAGATTTAAACAAGCCCGAATATCAAGTCTAACCACGATACTAATTGCTATACTGCACTGGATTTGGCCGCCGGACCGCTGCACCAACTGTCACTCCATTTACAGTTCACCGCATGCTGAGGAAGAAGGCGCACGCGATCGTCACTCCGTTAGTCAAATTCAACGATCCGTCGACGGACGATTTATAATCTCGACCGCTAAGGCCGGTAGCAATGGCAAACTCAATGCGCTCACAAGTGGTGCGGAAATGGAGGGTGTCGACGAGGTGGATACTGCCACAGTACGCCGCAATAGCCACGCTTCGCAAAAATCTTCCAGTGACGATGGCGGGTTTTTGTCGCGTCGCAATTTTATTACTGCGCGTGCCTCCTGGCGTCGTCCTTTGGTGGCCTCACCTTCTCAACTGAGCTTACAGTCAGCCGTCGGTTCGGCGCGTGGCTTCCTACAGGGACTCGGTGGACTACTGCGTGTTGGTAGCAATGCTGCTGTTGGTGGCAGTAGTAGTGGGCTCGCGGGCATTTCGGGGGTTGGCGCAGTGTCTGGTCTTGGTGACGATGTGGCAGGCAATGCAGGCGCGCGTTATCAAAACATTTACCGCGGGCAGTATGGGCAAAACATCTACCGCAATTTGCAACTGGCGCAACCAGCACAGCCCACCAGTCGTCCGCTGCATATAAATACTTTAGGTAGCGGTTCCTATCTTGGCGGTCATCAGTACCACCAACAGCATATGCATAGCCTACACTTAACACCCAATTTATATACACCGTCGCGCATATCACGCATCTTTTCCAGCTCACCAGCCAGCACGCCAAATGACACCTTAGGCAGCGGTACCCATCAGCATATTAGCGGTCTTGGTGGCACAAGTGGTGGCGGTGGTGGCGGCTTACTCACCTCACCGTGGTCACTGACGACACCTGGTAGCGGGCATCTGCATCCACATTTCAGCGATTTGAGCAGCGTATATCCCGGTTCGGCCGAACGTTCGTTACCTACGCCATCAGCGAATAGTGGCAATCTCAGCCGTTATCGCTATTATGCTCACGAACTGCCATCGCTGCGCACCATACAAGAGGAGACGCGACGCTACAACCAGCAGCAACAAGAAGAGAAACAACAGCAGCAGCTACAACCATCAGATAGCTTCCTACCATTACAAATACCCTCACCACCCTCATGGCGGAATTACTACCACTCGCAGCTACCATATAACAGTTACCGGCCGCGAACGCGCTGGTATCCACGCCACTACGCCCGTCTATTTGGACGTACACAATCGGAGCTGATGTCACCATTGCCGCACCTGAATCTAACGCTACGCTCTGCGCCTGTAGGTGCTATGGGCTTGGAAGCTTCGCCAGAGTCGCGCTCCAGTTCGAGTGGATTTGGCTCGAAAAACAACTCTAATCATCCACAAGGATCTCATCACTCGGGCAGCACCAGTGAATGGCGATTACTGCCACCGTATCGACCACCTCCACCGCCACCAGCCAATAATAGCGCTTACTTCGGCATAACATCGCTATCGGCACAACAGCAGGCACAAGGACAAGCGCCAGCAAGCCATCATCACCAGCAACTCCACCACCCGTCTTTATTTGCATCCAACTCACTTCCCTATTATGCGTCTTACAGCGGCGCAGCTGGCAGCAGCATGCACCAGCAACAGCGGCAACAACATAGACCTACAACGCCACCCTACACCATGGAACACTGGCTTGGTATGATCTCAGACCTCGATGCGGCGGCGGATAATGTCAATCTACCAAAGTCGGTAGATGTAGGCAGCGTCGATGGACACTACGAATTCGACCCGGCCACACCAACACCCAGCGCATCTACACCCACTGGCGGCCTACTGCGGGAGGATCTCAATTTGCACGTGGACACCACCGGTCACCATACGCTTGGCCCGCTCAGCAGTGGTAGCCTTTACCACAATGGTGTTGGCGCGTCCACACTCACTTCGGGTGCCGCAACATACGCCGGTCCAATGCGGAAGACACGCTTCTCACGCTACGACAATGTAGAAGCGCGCTTGCAGGCGATGCGTGCGGAATTCTATGAGTACCGCAAGCGACAAGCGATGCAGCAGGCAGGCGTGGCTGAACTGGAGAGTGTATGCTGAAGTGAGCCTTTGAAAATTGTGTGCGTATGTGTGTATAGTATTGTAAGTAGCGCGTGTCTAGTTAGCAATAAGTAGGGTTAGACTAAGTCGTCTAAAGTACCATATAAAATCAAATGTAATTAATTTCAAGCAAAACGAAAAATGCAAACGAATGTTTTAGTGCTGTCCAACAAAAGTTAGCTCAAGAAGTAAGAAATTTTTAGCAACCATGGGTAAAACCTGTGCTGAACTTAGCATCTGGGTATAATCACATATTTCATATTCTTCGTTATTTAGTAATAAATACACTACTGATGACTAATAACAATACTCTCGGATGTATTTTTCAAAATATAACGGTTTTAGGTGGCAGTTCGCTTTTTAAAGTATATATATCTGCTTGTTTTCGAACACATATATGTACATGTAGAGAGAAAGCTGAAGTCGTCAAATTAAATGTGTACAGCGCGGTAAACTTAACACGAAGCTTTTCGCAATGGCAAGCTGTGTAACAGCTGTAACATTTGCACGTTTTCCCTAAAGATTCTTTGAAAACGGCTTGAGCCTACTTTTTATCCATTTTGGAAATTTCTAAAACCGTTATGTGAGTAGCTTTCATTGCATTCTGTCTTCTCTCTCTCTACCATCAAATAAACTTGAACATTTCCTGAACATCGTGCACTAATTAAGTACTTAGAGAACTGTTGTCGGTAATTAATTAAGCGCATGCAAAGATTTCATTGAATTACAAAACGCAAATAACATTAAGGCAGTTTTATGCTAAAACTAAGCAAAGGATTCTTGTAAATATTAAACATTAAGTCTTATTTGTAGCAAAGTGAAAACAAAATATAAAACATTAAGGTGAACACGTATTGTAATGGTGAGAAACTGAGTATCCAAAAATATAGCAATTGTAAAGATATATTACAGTAGTAATTAATTACTACATTTAATTACATTTAAAGCAATTAAAAACGACACTTTAAGTACGTTAATTTAAGCAGAACATTACTAACTTCAATAAAGCGTAAAATAAAATATAAATAAATAATAAAACATAGTTATTATTAGCAAATGTATTTAAAATAATAATGATTACTCAAAATCAGTTAAAAACTTGATAAAATACTAAATAATTTAACCTGATTAACTGAAGGAAAAATAGTAATTTAACCGAAGTAAAAGTAATTGCAGCAAGTAATCGTATAGAAATAAATCTATTGAAGCGCGAGCATCGGAGCAAACATAAAAGTAAAATAGAGCAGTAAATACAAAAAGCAACAAAAACCAACAACAAATACTTTAAAAATAAAAATTAAGTGAGTTTCCCCGTACTAACAAACAATGAATGAAGATTACTAATTTAAAAACACACAAATTTAAAAACTTAAACTTAAGTAGTTCAATATGTATTGAGGAAATTATGAAATAAACTACTGCGAAGTAATGCAAAAACACAAACAAAATGTAAACTAACAAAAACGAAAAGAAAAAAAATTAAATAATAAAACCCTTGAAAACGAAAGTAAAATACATTTATTATGACTAGTTACTATATAAAGAATTCAACTGATATATAAAAACAAAACAACAAAAACAAGCTAAGCGAATTAAACGTACGTACATATACATATAATATATATATATATATATATTAAATTAAATATATATATAATTAATTTTTTTTTGTAGGTGCACATTACAAATTACTAAGCAAAATAAAAAGTGAGCAAATTAAAATTAAAAATAAAGAAAAAATTTATTGAAAGCAGTATAATGATAATTAAAAAATAATTGAATGAAAACGCAGAATTTCTCATTGATTTATTATGTAAAAAGTAGCATGACGACACGACGACAGACAAAAGCAAGCAACCAAATTAAATAAGGATAATAGCGGTCAGTAGGCAATTAAGGAAAACACAATACTTTACAGTAAACTTGAAAGAATTAAAAGCGTAATTACAATTACAACGTAAACTTTCTGCACGGCACTTTTTGCGTGCGGCAACGAAGCGAGCAGAAACACTGCTTACGTCTTCTTTCTAGGGTACACTGTGTTAAATTTGGGTGAAAGTCAAAAAGTCTAAAAAATGTATTTTAAAAAAAGTTACACAAAACCTACAATAAACACAAAATAATAAAAACATACAATTTTCAAAGCGCCATAATTTCTATTTTAAAAAACTCTTATACTCTGTAGCAACATGTTGCGAGAGTATCAAAATTATTTTGAAAATTATATAATTTCTATGCCATACACATACACATTTTTTTAGAATTCTACACACACATATTTCTACTTTAAAACTCCAATTTTAATAAGTTAGATGATTTAAAAAAAATTTTTTTTGTGTTTTTTTTCTAACTTTTTCATATTTTCTAAATTTTTTCATTTTTTTTTTTACTTATTATTATTTTTTTTGTTTTTTTGGTTTTCACGTTCATTTCAAAACCAAAGCAAAACGCATAAAATGTTTAACTAAAATTATGTAAGCATAAGATATGCATGTAAAGTAAGCAACAAACAAACAAATTTGAACGGAATGGTTTGACACAACTCGACGCCAATACACTGCCACAGCGAAGCGGGAGGAGTCGCCGACCGAACGACAGGCGCTGCGTGCCGCGTAGCAAGCGACGATGCGTGACGCACACGTGTGCACCTGCGTGAGTGTGTGTGTGTGTGTGTGTGCTGCAGGACATGCCTATGCATGAGTGTGTGTTTGCATACTGCTGCCGTTGCATACGTGTGCGTTCGCGCCTTGCCGTGCGCTACTCACGCACGCCGCCTCTGTATGTATTGTATTAAGTATGTAGTAATTAATAATAAGAGGGAAGTTGATAAGCGAGATTTTGTGTAAAAATGTAAACAATGAGTATAATGATAATTGAAATTGACATACATATATTATATATAAATGCGGTGACATGTTCACGGCGGTGTGAAAATGCATACAGGCACTCCATATATTATTAATTTTTTTACTTTTTATTATTATTTTTACATTCACAAATTGCAAATAGTTCAAAGCAAATTTATGCATTCCACTGACATAAGTCTGGTATAAGTACAAGACATGTTCAGTTATTGTGCTTGGAAGCAGCTGAGAAAGGCCAATCGCATAGGTTAAGCTCTTCACAACTGTAATAGTATTTCAAAAATAGCTCACTTAAGCTTTCTGCATGCAAACTTTTATGTGTTAAAATAATATATGAGGTAGTTTACTTTTCGCTCTAATATTTAGGGTTTAAATTTCGAGCTTACCAGTTCTCTTCAAGAAAAGTAACAAAAGAACGTCACGGCCGATTATTATGATCCCTAAAATATGGAAAAGTTTACCGAGTCAACTAGTTGTGCAGCCGCGACATTGTACATTTGGCTTACAAGGGTTGGGATGAGTGTAAGTTATACTGTCTCAAGACTAGCAATAGCAGTTTAAGCAGGTGAGAACACTAGCAACCCGGTTTTATAAGCTCAAATCATGCAAAACATCTGTGGCACGGCTGCGTTTGGCTACAAACATATATGCTGTTTCCAAGCCAGGAATTAAGAACAAACAACAACAAATGGGTAATGATCTCAAACACTATAATTTTTTAGCACACTATAATTTCCAAAGTGTAGTTTTGCAACCACACAAAAATTTCAGAACAATTCAAAAAATCTATTTTTTTTTTGTTTTTGGTTTTTTACCTATGCGCGTACGTAGTTTTTGAGCCCACAGCAGTAGAAATATAGTGAATTTTAAGCGCCTGCATTAGATTTTCTTCGAGTTTGTAAAGCACTGCTCAGGCATAGGATTTAAAACACGCGCTTTGTTCAAACGGAGAGGAGTAAATATTATTTATAGATTTTTCTTTTAATACGTAAAGCGCTCGATAATTTTGTTATGGTGAGAAACAAAGCATTTAGCAGAAATCACCGAATTTAGTTTATGTTTTAATATTTGAGATATTTTTCACCAGCTAGATATTGCAGCGCTACCTTTTCACCACTGTCGTTTTCAAGTAAAACATATGAAAAAACTCTTGGGCACACAAGGCAGCCTGAGCACCCTAGCGAACGGCTGACTCATCAGACAAAACGTGTTTATGGCACTTTAAAGTGGTGGCGAGTTTATTATGCGTAATTACACACACACACACTCTTAAGTGAAATCAATTATATTGTAAGCGCAGCTGAAACGCCATTAAAACAACAACTCAAAATAATGAAAAATATAAAACAAAAATATAGAAAACATTGTAAACAAATGCAGTTAAAGTTAAAACTCGTATAAGAATTTGAAAAATCGTCACTCGAAAACTAAGAACAGTAACTGAATTCAATAGAAAATGGAATAGAGTTGTTGAATCGAGCGCCAACTGAGCGGCGCTGAGCATAAGCTTGAACTGTAAAAGCAGTGAATTGAATGTGAATCGAACAATTATAGTAACGATCGAATTGTTATTGTAATCTTGTCTAATTTCCAAAATTAGTATATAAATAAGCTAGCATTAATATTACAAACTCATAGAAACTAAAAAATAAATAAATATATATATAAATATATATAAATTAAATGAGAATGAAACATGATTTCATATATTGAAGTGAGATGATGCAGTGAAATGAAAAAAGTAAATAATAAAAAATAATTATCAAGAAGTTACATAATCGTTTAAGGCAGAACACTTGACGAAAAACCAGTCAAGCGCAGGCACATCCGTATTATGTACATATACCTACAACACACATCTGAAACCACGCAGACAAATTAGGGTAGGCGGAAAAATTAGGGTAAGTGCAAAATAGTGAAAAGCTAGAAAGCGCTTTAAAAGCGCTGATCGGCGCAAGCGTCGCACTCAGTGAGCGCTAACAGCTGCTGTGCTTACTCTTTGTCGCGCTCACGTGCGTTTTTACGCGATCTGCGCTCGGTGTGTTTGTTTACATATGTACAGCTACGAAAGTTTCATTTCCGTTTTACAGTTTTCAATAAATTTCATTAAACTGTTTTTAGCTTGAAAACTGCTCAGTACTTTGAACTCTCACACATTAAGGTTTCACTTGTCTCTCTTTAAAGATTTCATTTTCGTTACTCTTTCTCTTCCCTTTCCAACTCACTCTAACGCCTCATCACATCGCATTAAGCATAAGAAACTTGCAATGAAGCATACGAAATTCTAAATGAATAAAATTTATTAAAAAATTGGAAAAAATTAAACTACTTAAGCACACATACAGTATTAATGTTGATTAACAAATAATTTTATGAAACAAAACTAAACATACACATAATTGTGTGACAAGCAACAAAATGTTAATTAAATTCGTTCGAAATAATAACACAAAAATTAAAATGCTGAGAAATATTTAATTCGTGTTTTTATATAAATCACATACACACGTAAACGTAGTAAAACACAAATTTATGATTTCATAATAATTTCTCAATTTTCTTGATACCAATTCTAATTAAGTTTATATAATTAATAAAATTATTTATTTTAAGTTTTCATTTAATTTTTTTATTATTTTCTTCTAGTACAAATAGTGATCTAAATAACTTAGTACAGAGCTAGCAACAGCCGTTAAGTAAATAACAGTATAAAGATAAAAAAAATATTGCGTTAAATATAAAAACAAAAATCACAGCTGTTAAAAACCGAAAGCAATTCAAAAAAAAATTATAATATTTCAAAAAAATCCAAAAAACCAAACACAACAACAAAAGCAATTAAGCTGTCGAGCAAACACTTGCATAAATAGTTAAAAACGTAACGGGATATTATAATTACTTGTAAACGAACATTCACAATTAAATGTAATGTAAGATCTAAAAGGAGACAACTAAAATTAAGTATGAATTGTGAATGCATTAGCGTTGGTAGTAGCTGCAAAAGCAGTGGCAACCTTAGAAAACCTTAAATTTCGTATTTTCTCTGCTTTGGGTCATTATTTGTTAATTTTTTTTACTGCAAATATACCTAATTATTATAAAATGAAATTATGTTTAACAACTAACTACGAATTAACATTAAACACTAAAATGTAATTAGTTAAATTATGCATTAATGAGATTATTAAGTTGATTGAAATAAGATGAACAAAATGAAATTTTTAAACGAATAAAATTACAAACAGTGAAAAGCATACAAAAAATCATAAAAATCAATGCAAAAAAATTACACAAAAATAAACGTGTTTGGCTTTATTTCATAGGGAATGTGCTTGTGTAGCGCTCAATTCTACTACAAGTAAACAGTCCAATTGTGCAACAGCTTCTTAATAGCGAACCATGTTTCACCACAAAGTTTTTCTGTTGACTCGAATATCGTAGCATAATTGTAAACTCATCGAGCTTGCTTTGCAAAATGTGGATAATTCGACGATTTGTGCACAAGGAGACGCAAGAAAGTTCGTCCAATTTGATGCGAATTGTTTCATTTAAGCTGCTCGCGCAAACCGAAACGGTAAAATTTGATACAACCTTTTTTATGTTCGTATAAAGTTTGACCTCCATCCACTCTAGATTCTCACGAACATAAATATTTGAGTGGCACAAAGCATTCAGTAAGGGTCGCGAAGTCATCGAAAAATTGGCACAGCGAAAAGTTAAAGAAACAGTGCTTGAAAATCGTCATGTTAGCAACAGAGAAATAACATCTCAACATCTTAGGGATCGACTCAACACATTTCGGTTAATGTTCTGGATGAGAAGCATGTCAATGTTAGGCTCGTACCAAAAGACTTGACTCTTTTGCAAGAACAACGTGGAGTAGAGATCACAAAAAAAAAAACTTGACAACGAAGCGGACCCTATAGTTTTATGCATATTACGCCTTAACCGCACAACATTCTTGCGAAATACGCTCCAAAACTGAGCCGAAACCGAAAAACCAAAGTTCGCTGAAGGCATACCAGAAGAGGCTTATAACCAGTGTATTAAAAACACACAGTATTGGCTCAAGGGCCTATTTATTTTGTAAGTCCGGGTCAAATTTGATCATATGGTCCTCCAAAGTATGTAAAAATATTTCTTAAAAATAACAATAACTTCATTGAGAATTTAAAGAGCAGTCGAAAACGCTAAAAAACCTTTTGGTATGCCCAAGTAGAGCTATATATTTTAAACAATATAATTATAGTATTATAAATTTTTAGAGGAAGGGTTGTAGAACCTTATTTCATTACACAAACTATGTGCGGCGTATGCATTTCCCCGTACAGAGACCTTCTGAAAAGTCCCTTGACCATGACGATAGCCTATCTGATCTCGAAAAGCTTTATAATCACCAATTGGCAAACATATATTTAGTTACGTGATGAAATATATAATAGTTTAATTGTTTTAAAGTCAAGTTGCTATAATTAGCTACAACTCGCCCCCAAAGAATACACATTTTATTTAACTGAGACTGAACTCCCGCTTCCTGCATTTAACAAGCGATTACTTTGGGGAATTGCTTTTCAATATCGATTTTGTTAATTAATGGAAGCACTCAAAGAGCAATGAGTATCTACAGTAGAGTGTGTTAAAAAATAGAACAAATATTTGTTATATTATACCTTCCAGAAAACGTGAACGAGCGGTCAGTTTGAGTAGTTTTATGGTATAGTGGTCCGATCTAAACAATTATGTCGGAGATTGTGATGCTTGCGTGGTACTCCATGCCAAATTTCCTAAAGATACCTTATCCAAAAAGAAAGTTTTCCATAGAAGGACTAAATCGGTTAATCGGTTAGTTTATTTGGCAACAATATGCCAAAAAATGTCCGACATTGGCGATTCCTACAAAAGAGTAGCTTTTTGGAGAGAAAAGAACTTGTGCAAAATTTCAGATTGATTTCTCGTAAACTAAAGAACTTGTTTACATACATGCAGACGAATATGACTAAATTGACTCAGCTCGGCCCCAAGGTTTCCTTTTGGGTGTTACAAACATGGTGACAAACTCAATATAACCTGTGCAGAATATAAATATTCATTAATTTCACAGTAACCAGTAACAAGAATTCATGAACGCATTTACTCTTAGAGAAAACAAAAGAAATAAAGGTGCAAATACGAAATCAGAATATTAATTTATACTGTGTTTCTACGAGAGATTAGTTTAGAAAAAGGTTGTTGACATTTGTAAAAATATTTTGTGGTAAGTTTGCGGTTTCCTCTTTTGGTTTTATATATTTTAGATCATAAAATATTTTAATATCAGGTAATGTTAAAAATCTTACAATATCACCAACTCATCAAAACAATTTTGCACCTCAATGTAAGTCATCTCACTGTAAGTCATGCCACATAAAAAGTAACAGACAATTTTAGAACAGCACATACAGTTTCAATATAAGTGTTGAACGTCAAGGTTGCTAATCGTGTACGCGAAAATGCGAAATCTCAATCGCGTAGCCCATGAAAGGAGCGTTAAGAGCGATAAAACACTAAAACCCGTAAAGAATTCCATACTCTTTTACTTGAAGTGGCCTTTGTTATTACTTAAATGTTTTGGTCTATTACCGTTCCATACCACACTTAGTACCTATGAGATTGGTGCGCCAAACCAACGTTCGGTATACATAAACAGAGCCATACTTTTAGCTAAAACTGCGTTGAACATTTGGCACATTAACGCCATTCTGTCAACCACAATACTGCAGCTACTCTTTATAAGAAGCAAGACGGAAGGCATTAGCAACATCTTGGACGTGGCCTTTTGTATGCTCAGTGATATCACAATAACGTGGACATGTGCCAGTAGTACCACGGAAATCCTGTTGATAATCAATAGCTTCTTGAAAGTGGACAAACTGCTGAGACAATATCCAGATTCGCCGGCTGAAAGACGCTGTGCCACCAATCATTTCAATAGATATTTGTTCGTTATATTTGGTTATATATCTCTTGTCATGATTGCATACGTTAAACACACTTTGGATTATTTCTCAATCGAATTTTGCGTGTACATAACCTTCTATCAGCTGGAGAACGCGATCTCGTGCGGCTTTATTGTATTCATTGCAGCGCTAATGCATCTTCTTACGGAACGCTTTCAATACATAAATCGGCTGATAGCGCAATATAATAATACAAATTTGCAACGGCAAGTATATCCATATGCGAGCACGGGGTCGATTGTAAGCTTCCATAGAAATACAATCACTCACGATGAAGCCAATTTGAGAATGTTTGCGCAGAATTCAGCTATGATTTATAGTTTGCACATCGATTTGCTGGACATATACAAAATGGTCAATAACTACGCCGGTCTGGGTCTCTTGATTTTTTTATTGTACGCCTGCTATGGCTTATTGTCTTGCGCCTACGGTTGCATCATTTGCGAATGGGCAACGAGTGACGATTATTATTATGCTATCTGGACATTTTCTTGGATACCCCTCTATGCCGGAATTCTAATACTTTTAGCAACTAACTGCGCGAAGGCAACAAATCAGGTTAGTAGCGACACATGATTGGCAATATAATGAAGTAGCCATAGAATCTGAAATAACTCAGTAAAAAGCATTGAGAGTTTTACTACAAGCATTTTCATTACACAATTATGTAATTTCGAAGACTCTACTTGTATATGGAGTTTACCTGGTATTTAGGCTTTCAGCACTTATTCAGCTTGATAAAATGATAGCTGAATAAAGCGCTGAATACCACAATGCTAGAAAAATTTGGTATGGGCTTGAAGTGCGAGAACTATTACGAAAAGTGAAGAGAGATTTGTGCTAATTTCAGCGCTAACTAATAAAATGTGCTACAAAATATTTAAAATACAGCGATGGACTAATACTTTTCGCCACATAGTGATTGTCGGTCGTCATAGCATCACTCTCGCACTACTTCTGAAAGGAGCAGTTTGCTTAGCTAAGCATTTAACAAACAAATAAGCTTCTAGTATTTTATTCATAACCAACTCGGAACATGTGTCCACCAATGCAATAATTCATTGATTGTCGCGGCAGATATTCCTGATGTGCACTCGTCCATACACAAACGGGTTGGGTGATCGCTGAGCTCAATAAAATTTATAAGTAGTCATATAGAAAGTTCAAGTTAGTGCTCTTAGTGCGATTGCGAACGAGAAACGCGATAATTTCCGCAATTAGTTAAAACGTTTTAACATCACGTGTACAGTATGGAGCCAAATGTAGTCGAACATTTCTTACTTTATAAAGTATACAGAAAATAGCGTTTAACAGAGTACATATATGTATATAGAGTATAACGAAATTGCTTCTAAATGACTAAATGTTAAGTTAATCGACTAAATTAATGCCTGTATGAAACCTATTCATTAATAATCGAGAATTATTTCGAATAGTCCCTCATGAAATAGTGACAAATCTTAAATATAGAGCTACTACTATACTGCTTGCAAAATTTTGCACCTTACTGTACTTTTGCCACTTTAACTAGCGATAAAGTAACTATAAAAGCACCACACAGTTGAAATTTGTGTGTTCCATGAGTAGGTCGTACATTGTAGCAGTATAAATGCGAGATACCAGCAGAGCAAATAATGCGAGCGCCGCAGATATACCGAACAGTCATCGGGACATACTCGTGTACCTTAGGTGGCCTTTACTACCGCTTCAAATCGTTGGTATATTACCATTTTACACTACACAGGGGCTATATGAGATCGGTTTGCCGAATCGACGTACAATATACATTACCAGAGCCGCACTGTTAATAAAAATTTGCTTTAATATACTGCATACCTTCTATTTGTTGTCACCCTCAATGCTGGATTTGCTCTTTTTAAAAAGCAATACAGATGGCATAACGAATATCCTGGATATCGCTTTATGCATACTCAGCGATGCTACACTAACGTGGACTTGTGCCGGTAATACAGATAAAATTATCAACATACTCAACAGCTTCCTAAAGGTGGACAAATTGCTGAAACAAGTTCCCGCTCCGACTTTGGAAAGGTCACTTGCAACGAATCAATTTAATAGATACTTGATATGGATACTTGGTTTTAATTGTATTGCAACGTTCTCGTACGTTAAACAAAGCCTGGATAACTTCTCATTTTACTTCTTTGTGCACACAGTCGTCTATCTGCTGCAATATGCGATCTTATTCATCTTTGATCTTTTTTATTTCGGCGCTGTTGTATCTTTTAGCGGAGCGCTTTCGATTCGTTAACATGTTGATAACTCAATATAATCGCAATACTGTGCCAAACAGAGTTTTTAGTAAAAATTCGTTGACTCAAGATGAAGAGAATTGTCTATGTTTTGCTGAGAATTCGGCTTTGATTTATAGTTTACACTACGATTTGCTCGACGTTTACAAAATGATCAATGACTACGCCGGTTTGGGGTTGCTGGTGTTCGTACTGTGCACCTGCTGCGATTTGCTCATTTGCATCTACTACTTGGCCTTCAACATTTGCAATCTCAATGATAAATTGCATTACGTGTTGCGGGTACTGTTGTGGTTACCTTATACCGTAGGAGCTTTGGTAGTGCTAGCAACGAACTGCGCTAAAGTTACGAGAGAGGTCAGTAGTATTCGATGTAGTGTGTGTCTTTGGTAGAGAGGTTGCGTTATTTTTCCTCCAACGTTTTCTTCATATCCTTATAAATAATATTCATATGTTTATACTTTACTTATGTAGCTTTCACCCAACCGATTTCATTGCAGGCAAATAACACATCGCAAATACTTGCTAGAGTCTATGGAAAGGGCAAGGAATATCAAAATATTGTAAGAAAGACTTCATTATAAAAATTCGCTACTTATTGGCATTTATTTCATTGGCATAGGTTGACAAGTTTCTTTCCAAAAGCATTAGGCAGAATGTGCACTTCACCGCCTACGGTTTTCTTGTTATCGATAATACAACACTGTTCAAAGTAATGTTAAAGAATTTAATGGTTTTGTGAAAATTTTGTTAAGCAAATGCATTCTTAGATTTCTTCAGCTCTGCTCACTTATCTAGTGATACTTATTCAGTTCAAGCAGTTGGAAAAGTCAAAGGATTAAGGGACTGGTCCAGCAGGATTACGTCAAATATAGCTTATAATTAATGATTTCTCAATAATGAATAGAAAATAAAGTTTAGTCATTACTAAACACTGAGAAAGCTTACAACTACATAGCGAAGCGAAGACCTATTTATCAGTCTCGAGCGAAAAAAAATAATTTTACAAAAAAGATAATTTTTGGAACAAAAAAATTTTTTTTTTACATCTAGAAGTAATTATTTCGTAAAAAAATGTTTCTAAGTGTTCTAGAAGCTGTGCAGAGTCCTCTTTCTGGCCAATTAAAAGTTATCAACTTAAAAAAGTTTTTGTAGTCATTATTGGAGTTTTAAAAAAAGTCGTAAACGACAACATGCTTTCCTTAAAGGTTAAAATAAATTTTGAGTCAAAAACCGTCACATTCCGTAATTTTTAAATAAATGTCAGAATGTTTAAACCAAAAATTATTAATTTTTTGTCCAAAAAAAATCTTAGCTCGAAATTTACTTTAAAAGTGAGTGAGGGCCGCCTCTAGATGTTAAAAAAAAAAAAAAAATTTTTTCAAAAACTGTTTTTTTTGTAATCTACAAATTTTACCCTTAGGCTAAGCAAAAAAATAAAATGTTTCGCTCCACCCTACTCTTTAATATATATATATGTTAATGGGGTTAAAAAAAAACACGAATATTTTTTTCCCCTTAGTACTCTGAAAAATAGGCTCTTAGACACCTCTACAAAACTATCTCCAAGTATGAGCTCTTAACTATAACAGGCAGGTTCTCCGCCTTACAGTTTTCTACTTTTTTCTTGTTGAAATCTCGCCTCTAACTACTTGAAAAAATATCTCATTTCATAGATTTAGTAGAACGATTTTTTTCGTAAACCAAATGGTTTAAAAGATATTGACGGTTGAAGTTAGATTATTTTAAGGCAAATTTTATTTTTTCTTATGTATTTTTTTAACTCGGAAATTTAGTTCTCTACACTCAATAAAATCAATTAAAAAATCTGTCTTAATTTCGGTCATTTCTCATTCAACTTTTAATAAAATACCGTTTTGAATCGCACAGCTTATTTGTTATCTTAGATATCGGAGCGATATTGAAACTAAACTCAAGTACTATCATAATTTGACTTTTTCTAAAAATTTAAACTAGTGAAAAGCAATTTGCGGCAGGTGAGCTACCACATCAACAAAAGCGGCGACATAGCAATGCTTTCTTACATGGGAGTCACGTTCTACATCTTGACCAAACAATCTTACATGGCTTTAATGACCGTAGTTGAAGCCATGGGCTTTGAGAAGAGATATAACATTTTGTCATTATATTTTGTCGGGTTTTCGCTTAATTTATAACGATTGCGGTAATTTGTAGTGCATGTGATGCCGTGGCTTCTGAGGTGATGGAAAATATAACGGTAGTGTAACTATTTCACTTGTGTAACAGTAAAAGCTGAGCTGGGTCCAAAAAGTTATTTCCGTCTATTTGTCTGTAAGATTACAAACTATTCCTAAGGTTTTACCAAAATACGTTTAAGAAGACAACTCCAGATTCACATAAAAAATACAAGCCTGCATTTTGCTGAGCTTCTTCTAGACTATGTAGTTATTCTCAAACTACTTCCATACTACGAACTCCGCGTGGTAATTATATTTTTGGAAGGAGAGTGAATTTGTGGTTAATTGCGAACTCTGGTTAACCAAGTTCTGTTTTTATTACCTTTTGCATTCATTGATTGATTGTTCGTGAACTGATTAGCTATAGCGACCCAACTGATCGCTCATCGGCTGGCTATAGTAAACTTCACTTTGCACTATAAAATTGGAGACATTTCCAGATAACGATTAGGCAATTTACAGTCGGAAGTGAGGAGCTAATTTAAGGAAGACATGCTCGTTGAAAAATTGGACGTTTTTGAATTTGAATCGCACACATGGTTACAAAAGCCCTAAGGCTCGGGTCAAGCATTTCTATATGGCTGTGAAAGCGTTGATGTAGCGTCAACCATCAATTTCGTTAAATATTTATTGTAATTCACTTTATGTAGACATTCTTATCTAATTTAAAGATTTTTTACCAACAAAATTATCTCTGCAATTAATTGCAAAATCAATTAGCTGCGCTTATTAATAACCTGCAATGCGGGCAATCCAATCAAGCATTTAATTCAATAGTAATCCGATCGCAGTAGCTCTTTACTCTTTACTCGCGCAACCAACGCACCGCTTCTATAAAAATGTGGACTAAACGACGCATTTTCTGCCACAAAAATGTGAGTAGCGTAAAAGTTCGTAAAGCGCGAGAGCCGAGCGCGTCGACAATACTCACGTGCATCAAGTGGAATGTGTTGATAATGAAGTTATTTGGTCTGATACCATTCTATAGAGCACCGAACCCTAATGAGATCACTGCGCCCAAAGGGTTGTCGGTGCACATCACTCGAGCCATCTTTTGCGCTAGAACTGCGATGCACCTCCTACATGTCTACGCCTTAGCGTCGCCCTCCATTATGCAAAAACTTTTATTTAAAAGCAAAACGGACGGCATTACGAAAACACTAAGCGTATTCATCTGCATCTTCGGTGATATTGTCATTAGCTGGTCGTGCGCTCGCCACGGCACCAAAATAATTGCGATAATTAACGGATTCCTGAAAATCGATCGGCGATTCGAAGAACTCGCGTCATCGCCAGCACAGCACTTCCGCACTGGAAATGCATTCAATATTTATTTGTTGTTGTTATTTGGTTATCTCTGCGTAATTACAATACCGGTTGTGAAATCCTTCTACGGCATTGTGCCTAACTATTTATTTATGGGCATTTCGTTTTACCAGGTGGAAAATTTCACCTCGTGTGTGTTTGTTGTATTCATTTCGGCGCTGCTGCATCAGCTCACATTGCGTTTTCAACACACCAACACATTGATAACTCAATACGGTGCGGAGGGCGCAAAAGCGTCAGTACACGATGTGCAAAATTTCGCACAAAATTCCACAACATTTTACAGTTTACATAACGAGTTGTTGGACTTGCTGAAAATGATCAACGAATTCGCCGGTCTGGGTCTGGTGGCATTTCTCTTGTATGCCTGTGCGGGTTTGCTGACCTTCACTTATGACTGCACTTTATACGATTTGCGCAATGGTGAGGGCTGCTTTAATATCCTGTGGAACTTATCTTGGATACTGAACTTTGCGACCGTTTTGATATTGCTGGCGTTTCGATGTGATTGCGTCACCAAAGAGGTTGATAGCTGACAGCAAATTCTTAAATATAATATATTTATCTATGTACATATGTGTTTATACTATACTCACAAATAACAAAATTGATGTCAAATCTTTTAAAAAATAGCTTTCCCTTCCAGGCTAATAACACAGCGCAAATACTCGCGCGCGTTTACGGCAAGGGCAAGGAGTACCAAGGCATCGTAAGACCCTTCTTGGCTTAGGCAAAACTACACAGTGGTTTTCTTTTACAAAATATAATCTACTTTCAGATTGATAAGTTTCTGTCGAAGAGCATTAAGCAGGAAGTGCAGTTCACCGCTTATGGATTTTTCTCTATTGACAACACAACACTATTCAAGGTATTGGTTTTTTTTTCACAGTAATGTGATTTTCTAATTCAACGGTTGTACTTAAAAAAATATTTCAGATCTTCTCCGCAGTTACCACTTACCTGGTAATATTAATACAATTCAAGCAGTTGGAGGATTCAAAGGCCGAAGAGCAGAAATTTTTACTGAACAAAAGATAAACAAATTAAATTTGGTAATAAAATTATTAATAAACGCAATGGATATCTATGTGCTTACTAAATTTTGAAATGTATTCATTCAAAGCGAGAAAATAACAACAATTTAAAATTAATAAAATTCTGCCTGCAAGTTAAAAGCACTTATACACAAAAGTTAGTTTCGTCAAACCACATAACAAAATATATGACTTTACTAAATTACAAATCACAAACTTTATTCGACTTAGACGAAACCGAATTATTAATTAAATTAAACTATGAATTTCCTTTTACTACTTCAATGAGCAACAAACACCCTCAACCCGTAGAAAGAGAGAACAAAAGTTATGGATCCGAAACAGCAGTCTGAGCGGCAAACTCTCTGTATCGCCGGTTGGTTGCACTTATAGCTCTCGACCGAAAAAACTATGTCCACTCCTTATGACTTTAGTAGACTCGGAAGCATATGTTCATGTAAGTTTTTGAAATTTGAAAAATACACCGACATCTTTCAATATTGATATATCTGAATTGTAATTTATTTGGTTGCCTATAGGGTATATTTGTAAATATGTACTCGTACATATATGACTTAGTTTGCTCACTGTCAATTATGCTGATGGCTTCAGATACATATCTGAAAGCTAAGCGGCATTCCGTTAAATATATAGGAATATGTATGATTGTTACATTATATAACTGTATATGAAATGATAAATGTTGTTTATTAGGGCAGGTACATATATTCGATTCGTAGTTTTTGTGATTTCTGGGTCATAAACTATAAAATAATTACGGATATCTGAAAAATAAAATCAACTAACCCACCAAAATCACGGCAATAGTAAATTTTCAACTACTTATTAACAAAGCCGCCAGTAATAATTTCTTTTGTCAACTTAATAAATCTTGAAAAATATGGAATCCTTTTTGGTGGCCTAAACACTAAAATCTACATGGAAATGAACGCAAACAAGTAAGGAAGGTATTATTGAGGCAGAGCAATTGAAGGACTGACTGCTCAATGGAGGACTACGGCAAGTACTTACGGCAAACAAAGATAAATTCTTACTAGCAAAATATGCTCTCTCAATTTCATTAAAATAGCTTGCAGTATGGACCCGATTCAACAAACTTTCGAGATAAGATTATATTAATAAATATTGTATATAAAATATATCTCATAGATTGAACGATATTTTCGACAAAAAGTCAGCTATACGCACCGGGGTCCACATATTCGGTATGTGGGGTCTTGAACTAGTATGGTCCGATTTTGACGATTTTTAGATCCGAGCTGGCATATCTTAAAGGCATTATTTGCGCAAAGTTTTATCCCATTATATTCATTAGTGCTTAATTTGTATACTGAAAAGTGAAAGAATCAGATGAAATTTAAAATTGCGTTATATGGAAAGTGGGCATGGTTGAAGTTCGATTTCGTATATTTTCACACCGCATTAGAACACCTTTATCAGAAAAACAACTAAATATGTAATAGTATACACGTATGCTCATAAAGGGTGCGCCAACTTTTATAACGGATGGTAAGTATTGCATAACTTTGATTTTTGTCAAACGATTGGGTTAAGTTCGGATTATATGGAAACATCAATTAAAGTCATAAATCACTTCTCATTGAATCAACGCGCCAAAATCAGCACTGCGCTACGCTTTCTTAAATAATGGAAATCTGTGGATGGAAGTCGGTTTCAATGGGTTTTATCTCATGATGTCTGCCGGCAAATGCAATAAAAATATCTGAAGGATTAATTATTTCAGCAGGAGACGGCTTTATACAACACTATAAGTCAAACTATGTCATTTTTTCAACCATTCCTGGCACTTCTGATCTCCGTAATAGATGATCTTGGTTAGCCATGTTTTCTGTATATTTAAATACCCGACGTTAAGAATAATGCACCCTGTATAAATTATATTTAACTGCCAGTCATTACTAATCAGGTTAAACAATAGTACTATATTCAATATATTAATATGCTTGAAAGCCAACCTTTGTGACAGCGAAGCACACAAACTCAATGTTATTGACAACTCCGAATATTCATTACCACTCACTAATGCATCATAATTCATTTAAGTATGTAATCCAAATATATGTATGTATGTATATCGCTTCTCTAATTATAATTACATACATATACATATATGTATGTATATTCTAACGGCAGTAAAAGGCTTCATTACTAGCCACAAGCACATCAAATCGCACAAAAGTTGTTCTACCGTGTTCCAATGCAGTCAAAATGGCAGCGGGAGCAATAAGAATGGACGTCTTGTATACACGCCAGCAACAACATAAACGCGCCACAATATACACGCTCGTTAAGGATATGAAATGGATACTGGCAGTGCTAAAAGTTTTGGGTGTAGTACCGATTTTCAAAGTTGTGCACGAATATAAAATTGCACTGCCGCAAAGGCACAGCTTCGCGTCACTCTACACCACTCTCCTGCGCATTTTCTACTTTATCGGCATATTACTGTACATGTACATAGTCTTCTCGCCCTTCGCCAACGATATAATTTTTATTTATAGTAAAATGGATAACATGACCATAGCGCTGCAACTTTTCTTGGGCACACTGAGCTGCGCCATTATTTTGTGGCAAAGTGTGCAAAAGTCAAAGAATTTTATATTAATCATCAACCAGCTGCTCGGCGTGGACAAAGAGCTGCAACAGTATGCATACGCACAGAAAGCTTTGGAAAATAACTGCGCGCTCCATGAGCGTTACATGTGGCTGCCGCTGATCCATACGGTAATCGTATGTATCGTGGAATGGCGGCGGATGGCTAACTGCACTTCGTCTGTTATCTGTGTAGGCTTGATATTATTCTACCTGCTACTTCACGCCATAATTAACAGTTATGTGATATTCGTGGCGACTCTGCTGCATTTGCTGGCGGTGCGCTTTCGTTATTTAAACGAGTTCATCAAATTATATATGACGCGGCGCGGCGCTTACAACAATGCGAATAACTTTGTGTTGGCGCTGAAGACTTTCTCAGCCGAAATGCTGCTCTTCTATGGCGAGCATAATAATTTGCTGGCGATTTTCCGAAAGCTCAACAATTTCGTGCACACCACGCTGCTGTTTTTCATAGCTTACTTCTCCTACTCCATCACTTTGTCGATGTATCAGTTCTACCTTATGATGCAAATGGATGATATGAATGTTAGAGGAATAATTTGGTGCATCGTCTTTCTTTGTATCCATTTGCCAATCGCAGCATTACTTATTAATTACAGTGACGCGGCAACAAAGGAGGTGATTGAAAAGCATTTATTAGAGTCATTGAGTTCTTACTTAAATACTTATGTTTCTAGGCAAAAGCAACGTCGCGCGCAGTGGCGCGCATCTACGGTAGAGATGCGGCGCAACAGAAGCTGGTACAATAGTTTCAGATTATATTATTTATAAAGCAAATTTCAAATTGACTTTTCAATTTCGCTGCAGATCGATAGATTTCTAAGCAAGAGCATTAAGCAGGATATCCAGTTTACTGCTTATGGTTTCTTTAACATCGACAAATCAACGCTTTTCAACGTAAGTATATAACGTTTCTATTTCAGTTATTTGAATGAACATTCGTGCTTTCAGATGGGCTCAGCCATAACTGCTTATCTGGTTATTATAATACAATTCAAACAGTTGGAGGAAGCGAGAGCTGAGGCCTCGGCTGACGCAGTTTATAATAAACTTACTTAATTTGTAAAATATTTTCGATTAAATAAAAGCAAGCAAGGCAATCGCTGAGTTTCAATGGAACTGTACAATAATTCGCTTGTGAAAATGCAGAATATAATTAATGTGTAACTTATTGAGATGTCTGAAAGAATTTATTGTTAAAGCCATATGCTCTGAAATCACTACTACCTTACGAGATGAATTTATAGGCCAACCTCTTTATGATTTGGTGCCCGCTAACATTAAACCGAGGGTATTTTAAAGCTACAACAATCATTTTAGATGATCTGTTAAGGTATATATAAACCTGAGTCTCTCTACGCCAAACATCAGTTTTGTATTTAATTGGTAACAAGTGTATGGGTTATTACACATTTTCGAGTAATACCGTTTTGTTGGCTCTGATTTCATAGCAATTTTTTTTGCAAAATCTCAATTTTTGCTCAAGTTTTTACTGTTGCAAGAAATATATAAATAAGTAATTATCACTTAGTTAAAAAAAAAAACTCATCTTCTTTGGTACTCTCTCATTATGTAGCATAAGAAGGGATGAGAGATGTTGCAGAGAGGACAGCTAGCTTTATTGGATCACTGCTCTGATTTGGTCAGCTTTATTACTACTAAATAGCCCTCTCGCTAGACAGGCCAAGGCAAAAATCCGAATTTATTCAGAAAACTAAATGAACCAAATATTTAATTTAATTTTCTTTATTTATTTAATAAAGGAAATACAATTATAAATAATTATATAATAATATTATAAATAGTTTTATATAAATTAGCAAAATGGAAATTAGGACCAAAAATATACAACCTACTTAAAAATGTTTTTACAAACCGAAAATTTCGGGTTAAGGTTCACAATAATTTTTCTCACTGTTTTCCTCTAGAAAATAGAGTTTCTCAAGGTTAACAAAATAATGTTAAATTTACTTCTTCAATTTTGTTTATCATCTGTAATGTATTAAACATAGATGTCGTCTCCAGAAATATAATATTTCTACAGAAATTTACTAAAATATTAATTATTATTATTTGTTTGCATGAGCCTAAGAAATCAATTGGATAAATTTTGTTGACACATACTTTGTTGATAAATATACTTTTAGGCGTACATGCGCCATCGCAGCATTAATCTCTTGGTACGACATTTATATCAATATCTTCGCATAAATAGATATGAAAATTGTATGCTTTCGTTTATTTATTTATTGCCAAACAAAAATTGCTTGCTCAAATATACTTGTATAAAAGAAAAGAATAATTATTTGAGCTATTAGTATTTAGTGTACACAGAGCAAGCATAGCCTAAAGTTGCTTCAGATCAACCTCAAAGTGGCATTAATAACACATCGGTTATGGCCCGTACCGAAGCAGTAAGACAACAATTAACTATAAACATCGGAATGCAATGTCGAGATCCACAGCAAAGCTTCACCAGTGCCTACAGCACATTTGCGGAGATCAAGTGGATTATATACACACTGATCGCCATCGGTTTATTGCCATTTTACACGATAGTCAACGATTTTGAAATCGGCCCAACTCATCGCAAGCGTCTCATCACTGCCCTATACACGACCGCCGCGCGTACACTGTGCATTCTGCTGGCCATCGGTAGTACATACCTGCTATTTTCACCCATCTGCGGATACAGTTTCCACATTTTCGGCGGTGTGGACAATGTGAATATCGCTTTGCACATAATGCTAAGCATTCTCTGCTTCGTCACCATCACGTTGGGTTGCGCGTGGAAATCGCACGACTTTCAAAAGATTGTCAACAAGTTACTGCTAATCGATCAACAACTCCAAGCCTGTACGAGTATCGAGACACCCATACAGAATAATTGCGCCTTTTATAGGCGCTATTTGGTACTGCTGTGCATCTTCATAGCACTAATGTTTCAGATTATCTATTTTAGTAAAAATATTCCCACGTCAAGTCTTTTAACACTTGCGTTCTATTTAATAGAGAACACTATCAGTAATTGTTTTGTAATTTTCATAGCGGTTATATGCCATCTACTGACAATGCGTTTTCGGTATCTCAACGATTTCGCAAAGTCCTTCGCTATTAAAGAGAAGACACAGGTCCGGTGTTCTAGCAAGTCATTAGATCCAACAGTTTTCTATGTAATTCTCACAGAAGAGCGGCAGCATTCAGAACTAGCAGAGAATCCTTTCGTCAGTGCCAGCTCCTTTATATATCGCACACACTACGATCTGCTTAGGATCTACAAACAGCTCAACAACTATGTTGGCCCGGCTCTGTTGGTGTACTTCGTATATATATTCTATAAGGCATCGGCGCTTATATATATTATGGCATCGATTGCTAAAGAAATGCCCAGGGTCAAGTTCATCATATGGCACATTGCCTCACTATATTTGCACATTAGCATTATAACATTAGTCTCACGCTGCTGCAGCGCGCTGACCAAGGAAGTAGGTTATGTTCAAAAAAAAAAATTGTATTTTGTAAGTCAAATAAAAAGATTGTTTTCATACGAAATTTACAGGCGCATCAAATGTCTGCAATATTGTCCAGTATTTATGGACGTAACGAAAAGTGTCGGAAAGTTGTAAGTATTGAACTTGAATAGAAAATAGATTTTTTTAATTTTGTTTTTTATATTATTATTTATTATATTTGATCTTTATTACTTTATTATTATTTTAACCCTATTTTATTTATTTTTTATTTTATTTCATTTTATTTATTTATTTTTTATTTTCTTATATTATTATATTTTATTTTATCAAATGTTATTTTATTTTATTTTAATATATTTTATTTTTGTTTTTTATTTTGGGATTTTTTATTTCATTTAATTTTTGTTTTATTTATTTTTTTTAAATTTTTTTTTTTATTTTTTGTTATTTTTTTTTATTTTTTATTTTGTTTAATTTGATTTAATTTAATTTTATTTAATTTAATTTAATTTTATTTTATTTAGTTTCATTTTATTTTATTTTAATTTATTTTATTTTATTTAATTTTATTTTATTTTATTTTATTTATTTATTTTTTTTTTAATTTTTTAAATATCATTTTATTTTTTTATACTCAGTAGTTTTTTCCACCACATTTTATGCTTAATAAACTGGCATTTTCAGACGGATAAGTTTTTAACCACAAATCTTAAGCTGGATATACAATTTACCGCCTGCAAACTATTTACAATTGACAACTCCACACTTTTTAAGGTAAAATTAGTTAATATAAAATACAACAGTAAATATGTATGGTATATAGATATTTTATCTTTATACAATAGTTGTCTTGCTCAGTATTAACGTATCTTGCTATTTTGAGACAGTTCAAACAACTGGAAGACAAGTCGCGATCATAAACAAATATTCTTGCTATATATTATAACACGGATTGGTAAGCACTTACCATTTTTCGGTTAATAATACCAATATAATGTGATCAGATTGTGAATTGCAAAATAAAGAAATTCTTCTCAATAAAAAATCGTATTATGGCAGTATATCTTTAGTGTTAGATTCTTTTCGAAATTCTAGAAGAAAGCTTACCTACTTTATCCTAATTATCTCACGTCGTATATCTGATAATCTGTGTTTTTGTTTTTGTAACAGTTTATTGCACTCCGTTTAAGGTGAAATATGGAAGTGACTTCAACACTGACCCCCAACGATAAGCAAGCGGCAAGTCTTATCGCTCGGTGTCCAGCGCAAAAACATTAAAATATTGTCATTAAAAATTTAAAAAAATACAAATTTTTTGTTAATAATTAATAACACAGACATTCATATTGTGCTCAGAACAGACAAAAACGGTTTATTTGATGTAAATATTACATTTAATGTATGAACTGTCGTAATGTAAGTGCTTCAGACAAGCAAATTGACAACGCCCGCGCCGGCATTTATATATAGGTACATATATATAGACTAACCAATTTGTACTATGTTGTTGATCAAGGCACCGTGTAAAGCCATGTGTAATATGCGCATGATGTTCACTACTACTTGGTCTTCTTGAGTATCTAAATTTAGCGCTTGAGAATTGCAGTGAACAACATAGCATTATGCTTCCCTGCATGAAATCGCGCATAATCATAACAGCTAAGCCTTACGAAGAACTATTTAATGCCTGAGGTTGTATTTTTCTTTAACAGGTGACTAAAACATAAAATTACTCTTAAGACCATTAGCACTTAAGAAAGTGGTAACGCAAACGAAAGCAGAGAGCACGCAGATTTAGAAATGCTTATAATGCATTGTAAAACAATGGAGTTTTGTTATATTATACGACGTATTTATAAATTTCTTAAAAATATAAGAGTAAATATTCATTAAAAGTTTATTCATTAAAAGTTTATTCATTAAAAGTTTACTGGCGATACTTTCCGTCTAGTTTTTCCTACAGGGTACCACTATAAGCAACGCGGTTAGACAATTTTCCTTAATTAAATTATGGCAGTCACGGCGTACTCAATTATAATTAAGCCATAATTTTCAGTGTCTTAATAGTTCTATCTGTTTTTGCACTCACTTGATTACAAACATTAATTTATATATTTATGATTATTATGGAATGCATAAAGCGCGCATTCTTGCCTATTTCGGATTTCTGGGAAAATATGCTGCAATGGTATGCCTCAAGTATTGGACCACAATCTTACCAATTTGAATAATAAAAGTCAATCGTACTCGTATCCTTAAGTCAAGAGCACTCTTAGTCTCGCTCTCTCTCTTTTAGTATCTTTGTGAGAAGCTGAAAATTTATGCAGAGAATTTAAACACATAACTATCAAACTAAGAGCTGCAGTGTGATAGAAAATGGACAGATTTTTAAAGATCTAAATCAAATTATTGAAAAAAATGTATATCTTGAATATTAATAATTAATAATTTATGTGAAATCTATAAAATTTTTGTGTTGTGTTGCTCTCCTGCTCTGAGCGATGTTTGACCTTTTAGCAGGTTTTTACGTGAAAAGTTCAACAACTAAGCTATTGTTGAGATTTCAAGTGCGTTCTAAAGAGGTTA